GACGGTGGCGTCGGCGGACGGGCGAATGACACGCGGGTAAAGCCGAGTAACAGATCGGGCACCCCCCCCACCCCACCCCAGCGAGAGCAAGGCCCCCGGAATTAATTCCGTGATGACAAATCAAGATAAACGCTCCCGCTAAATTGCGCGGCCATTTAATTAATTCCCCGAGATCCCGCGCTCGCCGGGCTCTAATAGTTCACGGCGTGCCGCCGCTGTCATGGCGCTCGAGCGGGGCTTGGGAGTGATATTAAATAAGCAACTATTCCATTTACCTCACGCGTGCCATTGGAAAAGTGCCATTTAATTACCTCGGCTCATTCAATTAAGCGGTGGGGGGCGGGGGGGCAAATTAAATCCCTCGGAGACGGAAGGCGTCAGCATTCCCCAAAATGCGACTGTGATGGCCGTTGATGGGCTTCGAGGCGGATTTCAACACACTTCCAATCTCGGAGCACTTGAACGGCAAAGCTTTTGCAACCGCCGCTAACGTTAGCGGCCAGCAAGGCAACTTCGCCTCACAAATCGGCCGTGAGAGAAGATTGATGAGTCTACCATAATGAAATTTCAAGATCATTTTTTTCTTTAGGATTTGATAATCCAATGATGCCAAAATATCAATCATTTGATCCTGAAATATTGCGACCTCAATGCTAACATACCGCCCGCGACACGGAACTAGCGATCCCACGATACGGAAAATAGATCGATAGATCAATCCTTTGATCGTGAACTATTCCATGAGGGTGTAACAAAAATCAATTTTAATTTGAATCAGATTTAATTTTAAACGTGCGAACGCATCTGACTAAAGATGTGCTCTTGACATCGATTGAACGGCCAAAAAGTTTGAAGTTGGTTTGGTGTCGCCGAGGAATTGCCATTTCTTTGAATTGAAGTTCCTCCAACAGTTTGGGCTTTGGAAAGCTCTTAGCGGCTATTACGTTGTTGGTAAACGCGACAAATGCTACCAATACACGTTTCTAGTCTTTGCCGAACCTCTTTGAAGGAAACGTCAACGCTTGCTGCACGGACAAGTTTTTTATCCCGTGAAATAAAACGAGTGTCGACTTTCAACAAGAAACTTTTCGAAGTGAACTGCGCGGCATTGAATCAAATTGTCATCCTGCTGAATTGGACCAACGGGGTCCCCCTTTGAAATTGGACAGCCCTTGATTGGTCTCGCGCCCGACGTATCGAGCTAAGTATCGAATCTTCTTTTATCGGACATACGCACAACTCTACCAAACACTGAAAAAAAAAAAAAAACCCCTCCAAGATTGCTGCTACAAATACAAATTGTTTGCTGGTGAAACGAGATTTGAAAACGGATGCAGAAATCGATGGCGGCATTTGTGTTCATGAAATCCTGAACGACGGATACCGAAGAAGCGAGACTTGAATCCGGAAGCTTTGATTCTTTGCTCCTCTCGCGCCATCGCCTCCACTTGACCGCAGTGAGCCTTCAAGTCTCCTCCTGGGTTGAAACGGGAGACCCTTGTTCTGCCGCTGCGTTACGGCGGGTCAAGTGGAAAAGCCAGGCCAGGAGCACAAAAGCAACAAGACTGTCCTTTTATGGGGAGGGGGGGAGAGTGGAGGAGAAAACAAAACAAACAAACCAAAAAAAAAAAAAAAAACCAAACCCAAGCATCAAATGGCCTTGGCAATAATCCGCGGTCGCTATCTGCCTTTCTCTGCTGCTCCCTCTCAAAAGCCAATTTGCTTAATTAAATGTTTTGTTTGCCCGCGCGCCTCTCATTCATTTCGGACACGTCAGCGCGCGAGCGGAGACGAGCCAGGGAGCAGATCTCATTAGATAAAACCCATCAGGACTAAAAGGAAATGGAAGGGGGG